CCTGCCAAAAATTCCACGGGGCCGTAAGTGATACTTGGAAGCAAGGGAAAGCTGGATTTAAATTTGCCGGATTGTATGTGGAAGGAACACACTGTCGCAAAATTGCAGCTTCTTGACTTTTATAGTTCCCGAGATAATAATTTCCCTGCCAAAATTTTTAAGGAGCCGTAGGTGATACCCGAGAGCGCGGGAACGCTGAATCTAAATTTTCGAGATCGTAAGTAGGCAGAGCATCATTATCCTAAAATTTCAGCTTCGTAGGTTTTATGGTTTCGAGATAATAATTTATCCGTCAAAATTTTCAAAAGGCCATTCTTGCTACTCACGGACAGCGGAAGGCTGAATTTAAATTTTAAGGATCGCACATGGGCAAGGAACATGTCCACAAAACCTCAGCCTTCTAGCTTCCGTAGTTCCCGTAATGATTTTTCCCGCCAAAACTTTTACTGGACCATACGTGTTATCCGCGGGCAGGGGAAGGCTGAATTCAAACTTTCTGGACAGCACATGGGTAGGAAACATGCCCACAAAATTCTAGCCTCCTAGCTTCTGTGGCTCCCGTGATAATAATTTTACCCGCCAGCCGTACGTGTTACTCGCGACTAAGGGAAGGCTGAGTTTAAATTTGCGGGGTCACACATGGGCAGAGAACATATCTTCAAAATTTTCAGCTTCCTAGCTTTTGTGGTTCCCGAGTTGAAAGTTGAGGACAAGTTGCTACGGACGCACACACACACGCACACACACACATACCCAGACAACCTCGTGACAATATGTGTTTTGTGCAGCTGTTGCACAGCGCATAATGTATTTAAAAAAAACGAACTTGACAATGTGTCCATTTCAAATGAATTGCCCAAACCAGCGAAAGCTGTGGACATTTTCTGCCAGTTTGTCTTATAGGCTAAAAACATTCTGAATGAAACAAAAGACAGTCGAAACATTACTGACAGTTGCCAGCTAAAAACAACTATTTTTCGGTGGACTGAACAATCCCTGGCGTATCAGAAAAATCACAACATATCGTACAAGGAAAAGCAGGTTTGGAAGCTAGTTGTGGCTGCTTCGTTACTCACTGCACTATGAATAAAAACTTCGAAATTTCAGGTTCGTAGTGCAGCTTCTTCTCTGAGCTGCGGCAGCCACTGCTAATGAAATCCCCGACCAGTTTCGATCTGTAACTGAAGCAAATGCCTCCCAAAATTACCGACAAGGGCAATCTTAGCTAAAACTCAGGAAATAAGTAGAATGCAACAAACTACAGTGCGTCACTAACGCTAGAAACTGATGCCAGTGAACTGGAAGTCGTTCGAGTGGCGGGACAACAGGTTTATGTATTTGAGGTACCAAATAATGAAAAGAGATAAGATGTTGTAAGCTTACGTCCAGCAAGTCGTTTTTGAGTCTCACTCACTCGATCATACATGAAACGAACGCTTTCGTCTAAGCTTCGCATGGAACGAGAGAAATTTTCCACTTTGAGCTCACTAAAACCAGAAGGCAACGGTAAATCACAGTGAACAGATCACACTCTAGTACAGCAGGTCACGCATATTGAAAAAAAGCTGAGACTTTCCGCTGCACTGTCTTTCCCAACCTGCCCGCTCTCTTTCACGTTTACCAACCCAGCAAGATAAAAGCTGAAAGAGAGCAGAGGATTTGAAACTAAAAGAAGAATCAATATTCGTTGCATAGAGAAAGCACGAGAACTTACACATCGTTGCTGTCAAGTGGATGGCTAGGGACCGCTACACAGTTCAGAAAATTGCCTCCAACATATTCGTCTCTTTCCGCTTTCCTTTTCCCGCTTTTCCATTGTTTTTCATCCGTACATGTCAAGAAATGAATCCACACATCTGATTTGCACAAAACTGGATGCCTGCTCACCTTATTCACCCAAATTTGTAAAATATTCTTGCGATGCTCAATTAGATCTTCCTCGTAACGGCCTAAAAATCGCTTTATAACCTCCTGTATAACCGCAGAGCAATCGTCGTTATGTAATCGGCACAACAGTCAGGAGTGCTGCGGCAGAGCAATGATGTTAGAGAGATGCACAAATATACATCTTGCGCATTTACGCCTAGCCATGTGGCCTAAAGCAGCACATCTTCAGTATGACATGAATCATCGGATAACAACAAAAAATGTCGCCAAATCAGGTTACCAGCAACTTGTTTCTCCGGTAGTGGAGGAAGCGGTATCAGAATATACTTGGTAGACATCTGCTCATGAAGCCAATCGAAATGCTTGTACCGCCTTGAAACCTATAATCATCAAGCAGTGTTGAATAACTGATGTAATTAACAGAAAACATCATGAATATTGCTGCATCTTTGAAAAATGTAACTCTCTCTCCTACCGGAAGAGCAGAAAAAACATTGCTAGGATGTGAACTGAGGCACCACACAAGCGATTTTAACAGCTGAGATACATTTGGCGCTCTTCTCTGGAACAACAACTGGTCAATTCGGTTGCATAAACTTAAACGCTGCTAGATTCGTGAACGATGCGAAGGTGCGCTACACTGAAAGGACGCCAATTAATATATTAAATTAATCATATCAAGACGTTCACCTGTATACCACTGAGAGAGGACGTAACGCTATATGCAATAAAACTTTTCAGTCCTTTCAGCTTCGATTCTTTCTTCGGTTTATCAACAGTGCAGTGATAAGGCTGAGCAACTGGAACCCATTCCGCGCCGTCCCCAGAAAGCTTAATTATGGATGCAGTAAATACCACTGTTAGTAAGAGATAACAAAAGGATAATAAGTATTAACAAATTATAGGGTACAGAATAAACTATGCTTCCCTCGAACAAGAAGTAAATATGCGCCACAATCTCCAGCCGAAGACTGCACTTCGAAGGGCTAACGGCTCGCGCAAATAACACAGTATCGCCGATGTCCTCAAAGTGTCGAACCAGAAGAGCAATGCCTACTTCTTCAGTAATGCTGTGTTGAAGGCAATGACGTATGGATGCGAAAAGTGATCACCCACGAAAGCTGAAGAGCGGGTGTTTGCTGTGATGGAGACAGCGTCGGAGCAAAAGATGTTTGGCATGTCTTTCCAGACCTTCCGTCAGGTGAGCGGTCTACAGGATAGCACTGCGACTGCGTGAAAAAATAAAATCCGATGGGCAGGTCATGGTTTCTCGTCTTGCTGACAACCGATGGACAAAGAAAATGCGGTGGGTACTAACTGGAGATATGCAGCCCAGAGTCGAAGGGCTTGGAGCAGTTGCGCTTGGTGCGTGGGGTCATCGCAACAACATCGCTAAAATGGAATGCCCATATTGATAGTCCGGGTGGTCCTGATATTACATAAGCACAACTAAACAATCAACTTACGATGATTTCGTGGTGCTCTTCTGGCTTAGAAGTGATTCTCGAAGTGGACAATATATAACCTTCCATGCCTGATTTCACAAAATTCGAGAACCTTCAACAGTAACAAAGAATTTTTAATATCATCGTCATCCTCGGCATCTGGCATTCCTGGTTTGAAATGATGCCTTATTTCTCATTCCTTTTTAGTCTGTTCTTAGCATTTCTGCATCCACTCCTTCACCGTAGTTCATCTCCTCAAGCTGACTCTAGCACTTCCAGATTTGGCTAAATTTGCTCCAAATTCGGACGTTATTGGCGTCTCCTCAACCCTCTTTCCGACCCTCCACTCTTTCCTTCACGTGGCATCATCCGAGTCCGCTGTACTAACAGTGCCATGATAGTAAAAAAATTTCTTTAAAATTCGAAGTGATAAAGGAAACAATGAAAATGGAAAAACAAATGTTTCGCAGAACTGACCGGTTGATATTCTTCATTCTAATAGTTCCTTGCTTCATCAACGCTGATTCGCTTCCTGCCAACTGCATTCTGGATAAATGATTCTGTGCTTCACTAACATCGCCCGTATTAGCCGCAACATTGTCCTGCACATAAATACAAGTTTTATTCAAAAAAAAAAAACTTATCAGTCAATACTGATTGTTTATCTTACTGAAAAGTCTGGAATTACTCTAGCGGCAGAACTGATTTGCAACAAAAACAGTTATTAATCTTAAATCGCAGGCTGCTGAGTATGCCAGCCGCTACAATTTTAAATCGAAGAACTCAGAAAATGTCCCGACAATCCTCGCAGGCTTCCGTAAAAAAGCAATTTTTGAACTGCGTTATGCAGTTTTAAACGTGAAACATTACTGCTTTCAAACAGTGATATATTAAGAGATATGGAGCAACAGCCTTTCAACTGATACTGGCAGCAACACTAAAACTGTCCGGAAAAAAAAAAAAAAAAAAAAAAAAAAAAAAAAAAAAAAAAAAAAAA